ATTCAGAGTATATACATCTGTAATTTGTTGTTTTTTATCACTTAGATTTATTTGGTCTTGATTATTTCAATCCTTCTTTTGCAGTAAAAATTTTGAGCTTGGACTAGAAACAGCTGGAGCTGCTTTTGCCGTCTATTATAAGGATCAACTGGTGGTGGATTTGTATGGCGGTTATGCAGATCGTGAACAGCAAATTCCATGGACCAAACATACTATGGCGATAATGTTTTCAATTACCAAGGCAAAAAACCTAATCTTAACTTGATTGTCAAGCAAAATTTTTTGCTTAACATCTTCAACTAATTGCATAAACAGAGCAAAAAAAAAAAGTAAAAAAATTTAAATTACAAATCAAGCACTTCTTTATACGTACCATCGCTGTAAGTATCTATCCAGACTGATTTTGCTTAGAGTCTTTCGGCACTCAGTTTAGCAATGCTGATCGACCGGGGTTATGCAAACTATGATGATTATGTATGCAAATATTGGCCACAATTTGCTAGCAATGGAAAACAAAATATTACCATTAGGGTACGTAATTTTTGTAAAGGTTTTCTGCTGTTCATTTTATTTCATCTAACCAAACTTGGTAAGATATTCTTTTAGCATCTATCTCATTTAATGCCGTTTTGATCGCTCCATCTCACCACTGTACTGTCAAAAAAAAAAATAGCTTAGAATTAGCTAAAGTTGCCGGAAAAAGAAACGATAATATTTACACAACATGTAAATTTCCCTATAAAAACACCTACATATATTCTTCTTATTTTAAAGTCAAAATTTGAAATTTTAATTTGTCAATTATATGATAAACGAATAAACTTCAAAATTTTACAAATTTTCATTGGTTCTAACTGCTTTGAAAACAACACTTTCTCCACGTAAGAATAGAAAAAATTCTTTAAAAATTTTTTTTTGATTATATTCACTTTTATTTTTACTATAACAAGTAATTCTACTATATGGTAAACTTGTAATAATCAATTATTGACTACAGTTGATCCTATTTGAAACTCTCAAATATTATCATCAAAAATTCATCAAATTTTTTGATTTAGTTTTAACATAAAGTGGTAAATGGCAAAACTGCCAAATTTGTTAATCACCAAATTTTTTTTACTCTTTTTTCCACCTCAATTTGTCATCTATTTTAGCGAACAGTTTCTCATTTTATATAAAAAAATTAAACAAAATTCTGTTTGTACATATTCAACAAATACTTTGCAACAAGCTATAAGTCTAAAAAATACAGTAATAAAATAAAAAGAAACAGTTATTTTTAGCAAATAACAAACCATCAGTCCGGACTAGTCTATGGTGACCAAACGTTTACAATTGAGGATGTTGAAATTCCAGAAAAAATGTCAAAAAAAATTGAAAAAATGCAACCAATATGGGAACCCGGTACCGACTGTGGTTATCACACCCTGACATTTGGTTTTCTGATTGATCAGATCGTTCGACGAGTAGATGAACAAAAACGTGGAGTGGTGCAGTATTTGGAAGACGAAGTTATAAATAAACACGGTAGTTGACTGAAAAAAAAAAAAAAGTTTTTTCTGATATAGGGTTTGAGTATAGTTTTAAATTGTTTTACACTGTGAGCTTTTGAAGTAATAATTACTGAATTCTAGGGCTGAATAATATTTCAATTGGACTTCGGACGAGCGAAGATAATAAACGGGTTGCAGTAATCTATGAAGCTTCCAAGCAAGAACTGTTAGAGGAAGGAAAACGAAACCCAGAAGCTTTAAGGAAATTTGCATTATGTGACAATAAACACCTAAAACGGGTCTACGAAAATTGGCCATGGGTAAAAATATGTGATGTAAGTTTGCCTATCAAAAATTTTTACAGCCATATTTGAGCTTAAATTGAAAACAGATATAAGCGATGTTTAAAAGTAATAACTTTAGATGCAACACTATTCAACGATTGCAGCAAACAAATTTAAATACAACTTTTTAATCGATTCAGTTCTCCTCAAAAAACCTCAAATATTAAAGAACGAATAGAAGTGTTATAAAAAAACAATTTTTTCTCTAAGAAATGATAATTGTTTAATCAAAAACTGATAACTGCTGACGTTACGTTTGGAACTTAAATTGGCTATCAGGAAATGAGGTTTTTGAATGTATTGTGTTTGAATCAGGTGCTGTGCTACATAAAAAAAATTAAACTGAATTTACATCTATTGGTTAAGTACTACTTTTTAAGTGCTTTTTAAAAATAATTTCCCATTTTTGAGAAAATAAAATGCTGTTTAATCAGTGTGATTTTTTGTCGATGTCAGTGAAAACTTTTAAAGTAAATCCGTTTAATCATTTCAGTTGCGTTTAATCATGAAAACTATGCAGAATTTGTCACCAAAACCTGTAACCTTAACTGTTGCTGCTAATAACGATAATAATAATAATACTGATAACCATAAGAATAGTAATAATAATTTAATAATAATAACAGTAATAGTGACATTAATAATAGTAATAAATTGAGTTAGCATTTTTCTGCAAATCAGTTTTCTGTTGCCTGTTCTTTTTTTTTTTGTTTCTTGTTTTTTTTTGCTGTTCACAAAAAAATTTGCAACTTTTAGAGCAAAACTGCTGCAAAGGAAAAGGAAGCTGTTAATAAGTTATAAAGGGAAAAAATGTAAATGTTTCCTATAAAAAAAAAACTATTTTGTTAAAAATTTC